ACGAATGGAGGGAAATGTTAGCAGAGTTAGGTACTTTAAATAATCATACTATGCATGCATGCTTGATGAAAATCTATTTACGGACGCATAGGCTGGCTGGGTTCGTGACAAGTGACCAATAACACATGTCAAAGGGCATTTATTATGGATAAATGTTATTCTTAAAATATAAGAGGTTCTACAAAGATTTGAGTTACAAGGTACAAACATAATCCATGTTTTATTAAAGTTAACCTTAAGTTCTCGACTTTGCTCGTATGCCATTATTCCAACAATGTAATCAGTAGATTCCATCATTTGCTCCATTGGAGAGCGGTCCATAGCAGATATCACAAAGTCCACAAGACGACACTCAGCCAGCAACTGCTCAAGATGCACACGATCAGCATAGGCAACGCGAACAATATCGCGCGCAAACTATAAGAATTAGCAAGAAAAAATGGATTATTTGAAGGGTAAAATTATGGGTATGAAAGAGCAAACCAGGGAGGAGCTTTACGTTGATAGACATTTTGGCCGACCCTGTCTCATTTTCGTTTTTGGACGTCTTGAGTTTATTACCATATTCAGATTTGAGCCGTTTCGAGTCATTGCAAACCAGAGATATGTCATCTATAGGCTTCTTGACAGACCCCAGATCAAGTAGGAAACGAGGGCAATGACAGCTTCTGGAAGGCTCCCTTTTCTGGGAGACACAGTGATCAGACGGGGCAGCTGTGAAACTTAAAGATAAATAAAACCTACCGTCACGATTTAGTTTGCGCTTTGTATAAGCAAAGGAACATTGATTAGATACATTTATTGCATTGAAATTATTTGTTATGTCTCCCAAGACTGCCCGGCCGGAAGTGCATTGTGATCTTAGAGTAGACTCGAGCTGAGAGCCCACAAGTTGTGTCGGCTTCGATTCCCATTCCATGTTACGAAAAGAATGCTGGAGATATAAATGTGTCATAAAGAGCCCTCATGCTTTATCCCTTCGGAGAATAGGATTAATTACGAAGAAGGGGATGAGTTGCGAATTTTAAACTAGCCCAGCTAGCGAGAAGTACCCCCGCCCGAGACAGACGAACAAAGTAATAGTGCTATAAAGTTTACTAAAATTGAATTAAAATTAATTTTATTTCAAGTCTAAGATAAAACTAAGAACATTATAGGTACACGAAATGTAGTTACTGGAAATTTTGTAAGTGAAATTTTCAAGGTACGACAATATCGTGCAAATATGCAAAAATATACATATAATTTATGACCATTATGTACAATATTTAAAAATATTAGAGTTACTTCGGTCTTATCTTTCAAAAACTTTACGTCATACAAATGGGCACTAATCTGATGTGCTGGTTTTCGTCAGCATATCTGGAAATTGCAAAGCTTAAGAAAGACTAAACGATTATGTAAAATTATCTAGGCTTCAAATCTATCTGTATATCTTAACTAAGAACTCTCGTCATAGTAAATAACATGGTGGAATATATGTACTCGTAGTTTAATTTTCCTTTGAAAAATATTAGAAGGATTCAGATACATTAATCGCCTAAGGTGAGTTAATTACCTATAGTTTAATTTTTCACTATGAGATTAGTAGACCTTATTTCCATGTTGAATTTTACTTATCCTTGCTATCACATTCACGGTGATACGCCGTTTAAAACCCGCCTAGTTTTCATCAGCGTCTACTTAAGCTATTTGATTCCATGTTATCGAATTGTAGCTGTCATCCTTCGATTAGGCCACCAGGGGTGCCAGATTTTCACATGGAAATTGTTATATTCAATAAGTATCATGCCCTATTAGTCAATTGTAGCGTAAAAGCTAATTATCGAATTTTGCTAAAACGCAACTTCTAATCTTTACGATATTAAAACTAATGAGGAGTGGCTTTTGTTGAAGTACCTATGCTTTCTTTTGAAGTGGCGAGTGAAAGGGACGCTTACGTTAGTCCCATCAGAAATCGAGAGGGGCTTGCCTTGAAGCTTTGAGTGCAGACATATACAAATAAGTCTT